TACTCAATCATATGGTGTAGACTATCTGGAGACATTTACACCAGTTGCCAAGCACAATACTATTCGTGTACTTCTCTCACTTGCATTTAATCTTGACTGGTCACTTTATCAACTAGATGCAAAGAATGCATTTCTTAATGATGATTTGGAAGAACAAGTGTATATGGATATACCATCAGAGTTTGAATTAACAGACAATCCTCAAAAAGTGTATAAATTGAAGAAATCACTCTATGACCTAAAACAATTTCCAAGGGCATGGTTTGATAGATTCACAAGAGCCGTAAAATATGAGGATATGAACAATGTCAATTCGATCATACACTATTTATCAAACACTGCGTCTCATGTGAGAAAGTTATTTTGATTATATACGTTGATGATATCATTCTTACAGAAGATCACCTTGAGGAGATTCAGAAATTTAAAGAATTTCTGACAAAAAAATATGAAATAAAAGATCTTGGGGTACTGAAATACTTCTTTGGTATGGAAGTGGTTAGATCTAAAAAGGAGATTTCAGTATCTCAACGAAAGTACGTTCTGAATCTCCTAAAGGAGACTGGAATGTTAGGAAGCAAGCCTGTTAACATTCTGATGGATTCAATTATCAAACTTGGATTCAGAATCAATGAGAAAATGGTTGACAAAGGAAGATACTAGAAACTTGTTAGAAAACTTATCTACTTAGCACATATAAGACCAAGTATCAATTTTGCAGTGAGTACAGTAAGTAGGTTCATGAATAAGCCAACTGAAGATCACATGAGAGCTGTGTATCGAATTTTAAGATATCTCAAGATGATTCCAGAATAAGGATTGTTCTTTCAGAAGACAAAAAGAAGAGGTATTAAAATTTACACTGATGCAGATTAGGCAAGTTCTACAGATGACAAAAGATCTACATTAGGATATTGTACATATGTTTGGGGTAACCTGGTTACCTGGAGAAGCAAGAAACAATCGTTTGTCTCGCAGCGGTGCATAATCTGAATTTAGGGCGCTTGCTCATAGTATTTGTGAAGGTCTATGGTTGAAGAGGATACTTGAAGAATTAAAAGCCCTTAACAATATACTTATGAAAATATGGTGCGACAATCAATCAACTATCAGTATGGCCAAAAACCCAGTACACCATGAAAGTACTAAACATGTGGAGATCAACCGCCACTTTATTAAAGAAAAATTGGAAGATGGAACTATTGTTCTGATGTACATTCCAACGAATTAACAGATTGCAGATATTTTAACAAAAGCTATACCTAAAAGAAACTTTGATGACATAATATCTAATTTAGGTTTACTGAACATATATGTAAACTAGATTGAGGGGGAATGTAAAAAAATAAAAGAATAAATTAGTTTTGTTAGCTATACAATTTCTATTTTCTATTATAAACTGAGGCAGTCACAAATTTAGTGAAGAATAACCAAATTTTATTATTTCTTCCTCCTCATAATTCTGTTAAGAGTTTGTTAGAATTTAAGTTGTATATATACACCTTTGATGAATGGAAATGACAAGCAGAAACATTATTTCCTCTATTAAATTCTTTACTTTCCAATTGAAATCCACTAAGAAACGTCTTTATTGGAATCCATCTTATAAGCTCTGAAATCTGCCATCAAGTACCTAATCCCTAGAGCTCCTGATGTAATATCTGGCTGCTGTATTTTGCAAAACTTGCTTCATTCTTTCATTTTTTGTTTTGTCATGGTTACAGCTAATATTCTATAGCACAACCTGAACATGTAAGTGACAACATAATTCCATAAATGATCTCCGATGATTTGATATAAAATTCTTTAGCAATAAATTTTTGTGGGATCTTTGAAAGAGAATATTACTTCATTTGTTAAGTTTCATCCCCAGCTAAAGTTTTAAATTAATCAATCTTTCATGTCAAATTTGGAACAAATGAATCTTACTCCCACATAATGCCTTCATAGAAATCAGCCCTCTCTGGCTTCTCTTGCAGCATATTTCTTTGGAAGTTTATGTTGCACCACCAATCAATATTTCCAGTTAAATGAGTAGCCATGCGCAAAATTCCAAGGAGGTGGAGCATTCAATGTTATTCCAGATTCCATTACAATCAGGGGCACATTTAGAGCGTTTTCAAAAGAAAGCTTTCTTCAGCTTAAACAGAGAATTGAAGAGGTTAGTGAGATCTCCAATATAATTGGCAATCACGACACATTAAAATTGAATATTTGAAAGTGTTTGATATTCCTTGTTTCATTGCCCCATCTCCTTTACTTTTATTTTTTCCTTTCCAAGAATTCTCAGTTAGCTTAAAATGCAAGTGATAGGTAATCACAAAACAAGCAAGTGTACAGAGATGTAATGCAACAGTAATATTTGACACCACCAATAGCCCCTTCTTTCCAGTGACGGTGAATGACAAAGATTTGCACAAGCTCTTCCAAAATGTTGCGCGAGACATGCTCGGAACCCAAAATATTAAAGAATTGCAACCGCAGATGGGAGCAGAAGACTTCTCATTTTATACAGAAAAGATACCAGGATACTTCTTCTTTCTGGGAATGAAGGACGACGAGAAAGGACAATTCCATTCTGGTCATTCACCATTCTATTTAGTTAATGAACATGTTCTTCCTTATGGTGCTGCGCTACACGCATCATTGGCCATCAGGTATCTCCTAAAAAATCCAACCCAACTTACTTCGCAGAAGGAAAGTTATCATGATGAATTGTGAGGTGCTGGAACTTCTTTATTTCGAGCAATTCTGAACTGCTATCGAGAAAATTTTCCTTCCCGCATATTAATCCTTCTTTCTCTAGAAATTTTATGTATAATTCTTGTGGTGGATGTTAGTTGTTAGATAAAGTAAAAAAATAATTTTGCTTGTGTAAAATTTTGGGTTGGCATAATTTGAATAAAATTTTGTTTTTGGTTAACTTTGAATTAGTTTGACAACAGGTAGATAATTATTATATATTTAAGCATTGAAGATAATAAATGCGTACTAATATATATATACATGTAGTTTACATGTTTATAATAGAATTGATTTCTTATTCTAAGGTCAAACCATATGGGAAAAAATAGGAAAAATTTCTACTGTGGTACCTCATCTACGGCATAATTTCTATATATATTTCATATATTTTGGAATATATTTAAATTAATTAATTTCTGCAGCAAAAAAAAAGATTATTAGTATAGCAAAGATACTACTAACCATAATTAAGCTATGGAGAGTGACAATAATCTTCATTTTTTTCCATAAGAGTTGAGATTTACAAGTTATTACTTTTTTGATGCCTATATGATGAAAATTTAAGAAAAAAAAATCGACGTAAAAATAACTGGAATTGGATTATTCTTTGCCTTCTCATTCTCCCAAGAACCTTTTTATATTCCGAATTGAGCTCTGAAATGGCTAGCGTGAATGAAGGAATAGGGATTATAGCATCACCAAATCTAAGTGGGGAGCGGATTCTCTTCCTCCGATAGAATTTCCTCTGTCTTCTTGGGAAATTCAAATTTCACAAGTTACAGACTGGTAAACCCGAATCAAGTAAAAAATTAAATTGAAAAGTCCTGTTTTTTTACCATCCACCGAGACAGAGGCGCGCAGTATTTAATGGAGCATTGAATGCTATTCCATGACATATGGATATTTGCCAATTGGATTCCTTCGCTTCAAATCCCTAATCCCCCTTTACAATCTCCATTATCGTCTGCAGAGCACATGGCAGGATCTGAAATTTGGAGATGGAGATGGCTGAAGACATGTTTCAAGTCGTCAATGGACGATGCCAAGCAAAAACAGAGAGCAAAGGAGAGTGGTTCAGTGTCGAAGACTAGCAGCGTTCACGCAGTGAGATCGTCGCCGAATCGTCGACAGTCTTACAGCTCCATGAACGCTGAAGAACGCGACGAGAATCTAAAAGCGGCCATTATCTACTGCAACAACAAATCGAGACTTCCAGTGGAGGTGTAGCTTACGCCTGATTTCAATTTCACAGTCTTTCAATATAGATATGGATATGAGATTTTTGGTGATAATATTTGATTTTTAAAAAAAATATATATATCTTTTCCGATCGGGTGTAATTCTGCGATTAATTGATTATTTAGTGTGGTATTCTCCTAGAGGAACCAGCTTAGCTTCCCACTTTCTCTCTTGTTTGGTTCATGTGTTGGATCTGTATTCCTCAGTTCGTGTTTGATTGGACTGCTGCTAAATTGTACCAGTATGGTTCACACATTATTTTTTATTTTTAAGAAAATTAAAAAATATATTTTAAAAGATAATAAAAATTGTATACATCATATTTATTTTGAAGTTGAATAAATATAATAAATATTATTGAAAACACAAAAGATTATTATAAATTTAATTTCATTGTCGCTTATTTTTATAATAATTTTATGACATAATTTAAGTAAACATAATATCACATATTTTGTAGAACAAGCTTGTTAAATACCATATTGTATGAGCTTTTTATCGTCTTCTTCAGTGTTAAAAGGTACTTATTTTTTAATGAAATAAAACTGTTTCTTTTTGCATGTTTAAATTCTTTTAGTTAAAAAGAATATTTATGTACCTGCACGACACATTCACCACCTTTTTTAATTGAAATTAAATTATGAAATCACATATCTTTTTCAAATGCTATAAATCATTTTAAAATATTATAAATTCAACATACTCCATACAAAATAAGAAATCTAATTAGTCTACATGTATTTTTTTTTATAAAATAAATCCATCTGTTATAAAAGGCTAGTTAATAAGCAATATACATATTATGCATAATATATGGAACACGTTTCTTCATCCGAAGAGAGTAGGGGTTGAAACGTTATGAAATTCCTTGGGCCATTAAAAAAAAAACTCAAATCTCCACCAGAATTACCATTAAATCGCTATGCCCAGTCATAAATATATTAGATATGAACGAAAAGAAAAGGCAACAACCATAAGTGATTTGTGACAATGCTGAAGCTAAAGAGCACAAAAGCTACTGAACAAAAGGCAAATTGAATTGAAAATCACATGTTATCTAGATTAAGAAACCTGGTCAATGTACTTCACCACTAAGTAGTAATTAAAATTCCATATAAAATGAAAAATAATAACAATAGCACAGTAATCAAAACACCCAGTAAGCCATGCCTTCATTCCATCCTTACTTCTCAGATGAGTTGGGTCCTCTCTTCTTTCCAAAACCAACAACTGCAAAAATCAAATCGGATGGTTAAACACCATACAAAACCACCCAACCAGCTTCGACAATTGACAAGCATAACCATATACTCAAACTACCTATTTTTCACGTTCAGAAAAATTGCATTTTGTTACATGTCTCTTATTTTTGAAATAACAAGTGTAAGACGTATTATAATTAAGGATAGGCACGAAGAGGGTGGAAACCTATGTATAAAATTATTTACAAATCAATAAGGATATCAATTAGTTCTCATACATTCTCTACAGAATAAAATGGTTGACCCATAACCAAAAAGAATCAAAGGTCTGGAACCATCTCTCTCGAATCTTATTTATACACTCTTCCATCCCCTCAAAAACTCTCCAATTTCTTTCTTTTCCCATGACCCAAGAGGCTGCATTTTGTCACATGTCATATAGTAATGTATGCTAATCTCGCCCCATGTTTGGTAGGGAAACTCATGACCTTAACCTACTATTTCCCATCAGCCTAGTTCTACCTCCATAATATCTGCGAACCAGTGTCATTGACTAGTTCTACCTCCAACAGTGTCATTGATGGATCACTAACACTTTGGTTTAGTTCTGTGGTGAAGGGCTGACTCTTAGAAAAGTGGCTACGATTCAAACTAAACATTACAAAACGGCATAACACCTGAAGCTTACGGAGAGTCACCAAACTGGTAACCTCCCCACCTTTTTTATTTACCAAAACAATCTAGAGTATGCACCCACATCTGTTTAGAAAACTAATCAGAGGGTTCTTCCAGTCTTAGATACCTGTTCCAAGTAGATTGGTTTTGGTTCAAACAAATACAAAAGCTTCAATAATCAGTGTCCCATGCAATATTCACCCAACTAAGGTCACTCAGGAAACAATCATATAATTGTCTACTTCATGGATTTTCCAGATTCAATCCATTTGGGACAAGGTTACAGTTTGAGGAAACCACAGATTCACAACCAGCCATATACTCTACAACAAATTCATATTTCGCAATACATGCATTCCAAGATACCAAACTATAATTTCCATAAAATATGACAGTTAAAGACATAATTATGAACTTGCTATAGGAAAGTTTACAGAGGCCAAAAATCACGTAATGCACAGCAACAACAATAACAAATTAATAAAAACTTCCGCCACACTTAAGAGGCACCGAATTCAAGCCTATGCTCAAAAACCACAATTTAAAAAGGAAGTACAAAACGGAGAGATGCGAGAGTAGATTACCTGCTGTGACGAACCGGCGGTTGTATTGCATCCTTTTGTAGGCTCGACCGCGAGGCTTCTTCTTCTTGTCCTGCTTTGCCACCTTAGGGGTTTGGCCTCTCACCTTACCAGCACGAGCTAGAGATCCGTGAACTTTACCTGTAAATCCATACTCAAAATCAAATAAATCAGCTTAGTGACCCTCAAGAGACGCAGATAACACAAAAAAAGCTCGAACTACCCAACAGAGAAAGATGCGAAGGCTTTACCCATGATGTATCGTCAAGAAGGAGATCAACAGAAGAAGCTTTCTTAAGTTTTCTTCTTCTTGACAGCGGGGAAGGTGGAAGATTTTTAGGGTTAGGGTTTTTCAGGTTATTTATAGTGAAATAAAGATGAGAAACCACTTTCGGCCTGAACTAATTCGGGCCGTGAAGCCCAAAAGTGAGTCAGTGGGCTAAGCTTTAGGCCTCAAAGCCCAGTAAAGCTCGCAATGGTGGCATTTGACAAGGAGGTAAGTTGATATAACTAAGCATTTTAAGAACATTTACTTTTACTCTTAAGTTGAGGAATTAAATTTAAATTTATTTTCCTATTCTGTTTTAAAAATAACAAAAATCATTATAATAATACTATAAATATAGTTCTTAATAAATTTTGGTAGAATTGATTTCTTGTTATGTATACATATAATTGATATGTATTAACTACTTTACTACCTCGATAAATAGAGATTTTTCATAAATATTTTAAAAATAAAATAAAGGGTTGTTAAGCAAAAGCTAAAAACAATCAAATATGAAGTCATTAATGCTTATTTGATTTTGATTATATTCACTAAACTTTCCTCTTAAATCGTAATTAACAAATTAAATTAGACTGTTAATTTCATTGGTGGCTTTTTCCCCCAGTACTGGGCAAATTACTAGTGATTAACGATTGAATGGAACCCAAATAATGAAAAATTATATTTGGTGAAGGAATATAATTTATATAAATTAATTTTATTTGCATAAAATTTAAAATACATTTTTTAATAGAAAAAATTAAAACATGTCTTCATTGTTGATTCCCGTCCCTTTCCAGATCAAAGAGATTCTGTCCAAAATTCCGCCTAGAAATAACGCCTGCAACTTCCATCAAATCGCTTATTCCATACTCCCTGCACCACTGAATCCATCCTCCTTTACTCTTTAAACTTCTTTAGGGTTATCAGAAATCACCCACCACCATAGCCGACCCCATGACAGACCACCCGCCGCCCTTACTTGACCAGCTTGCGTCTGCATCCTTAACAGACGATGGACCGTGTTCCTCCATCAAAAAAGCTCAATTCTCTGACAGAGTTCTCATCCGAGACATCGTGACTCGGAAAGATGGCGGCGCCAGCCTCGCCGGCCGGCACGTGCGTATTGGTGGCTGGGTCAAGACCGGGAGAGAGCAAGGGAGAGGCACATTTGCGTTCCTCGAGATTAACGATGGTTCCTGTCCGGCGAACCTACAGGTTATCGTGGATGCTTCTGTATCGGATCTGAGCCCGCTCGTTTCCACCGGTACTTGCGTATCTGTTGAGGGCCTGCTCAAGGTCCCTCCAGAAGGAACCAAACAGAAGATCGAGCTTCGGGTTGAGAAGGTGCTTCACGTGGGAACGGTTGATCCGGCTAAGTACCCAATTCCCAAAACCAAGCTCACTCTTGAGTTCTTAAGAGACGTGCTTCACCTTCGTTCCAGAACTAACACGGTAAGGTTTTCATTTTTGGGTTTAAGTTTTAAACTTTTGGAATTAGTGGGGACTGCTCGTGTTAATTGAGATTTGGCATTTTGGAAACGCGAATAACAGGTTGTAAAGTCTGTAATTTATTTTGTGTTGCTTGGTTGGTTTTATTGATGATAGAAAATACAATTTGGGGCAGGTTACGTCCTTCCTCTTGATACTATGCCATTTATGATCAACTGAGTATGCGTCTATGCTATATGGATGGGTTAAATGGGAAATGCCTTCTTTCTTAATATTAGTCGGGAAGGAACTTTATCTGGCAAACTCTGACGATCTTTTTGTGTTTCTTTCTGAAGTCGAAGGAGAAAATATGTAACTTTGACCAAAATTTTGTCTGACCCATCTATCTCAGCTTCAAGCAGAAAAAGTTTTCATCTTTTGCTAGATTGAAAGTACCAGTTTTTCTCGTTTATCTTTACGTATGTGATACAATCTTAGCAGTATGTTAGTTTTAGAAGAATGTTTGATTGCTGTGTATGGTATCAGATTTCTGCAGTTGCTCGGATTCGAAATGCACTTGCTTTTGCCACTCATAGTTTCTTTCAAGAGCATGGGTTTCTTTATGTGCACACTCCAATTATCACCACTAGTGATTGTGAGGGTGCTGGTGAAATGTTCCAAGTCACGACCTTGATTAATGATGCTGAAAAGCTGGAGAAGGATCTAATTAAGAATCCTCCTCCATCAGAAGCAGACATTGAAGCTGCTAAGCTCCTTGTCAAGGAAACAGGAGAAGCTGTTGCCCAGCTGAAAGTTAATAAAGCAAGCAAGGCAGATATCACTGCTTCTGTTGCTGAACTCACAAAAGCAAAGGAGAATTTCTCAAAGCTTGAGGAGAGGTCTAAGCTTAAGCCTGGTATTCCTAAGAAAGATGGGAAGATTGATTACTCACAAGATTTCTTTGCCCGTCAAGCATTCCTGACAGTTTCTGGGCAACTACAAGTGGAAACATATGCCTGTGCTCTTAGCAGTGTCTATACTTTTGGCCCTACTTTCCGTGCTGAACACTCTCACACTTCAAGGCATTTGGCAGAATTTTGGATGGTGGAGCCTGAACTAGCATTTGCTGACATCCAGGTTTGTTTATTTTTGTGTTTTTGACAATGCAGAATGAAATTTTTACGATTCAAAAGTGAAGTTTGTCTCCATGTTGTGTTCATATCAGCATTTAATGTGTTTGTATGTACTGTTAACTGATCCTGAATCCTCATCATCCACATTGAATATCCCATTGGGCATTGTTTAAGTCATTGAAGTCTGAGAATTTCAGTTCTGTTGACATCTAGAAGTTGCAAATGAATTTGGTGCCCTGTTTGGATTTTGATAAAATTGAGTGTGGTAGTTGGGATGGAGCATCCATGAATAATTTTCCATTAATCAGACCATTTATGCACGCAACACTCTGTGTTTCTCCGTTAGCCAATATTCTCATCTCTCAGATTGTGCCATAGTTTCTACATATATTTAGTGAATATTGCCATCTGTTAGATTGTATCTCCACTCCTACTTTTTAACATGTTTACAAAAAAATTTTGAATATATTCTGTAGGATGACATGAACTGTGCAGAGGCATATGTGAAATACATGTGTCAATGGTTGCTTGATAAGTGCCTTGATGATATGCAATTTATGGCCAAAAATTATGACAAGGGTTGCATTGACCGTTTAAACCTGGTTGCTTCAACTCCATTTGTACGTATAACATACATGGAAGCAGTGGAACTGCTACTGGATGCTGTGAAAGGTGGTAAGAAGTTTGAGAACAAAGTTGAATGGGGGATTGATTTAGCATCTGAGCATGAAAGGTATATGAACTCGTGTTATAATATGTTCATAAGCTTGAAATGAGGTTACTGAATTCTTTGGTTTGCTTTCTCATGCAGATATTTGACAGAGGTTAAATTTCAGAAGCCTGTTATTGTTTATAACTATCCAAAAGATATCAAAGCTTTCTACATGAAGGTCAATGATGATAAAAAGACGGTTGCTGCTATGGATATCCTTGTACCAAAGGTAAGTCAATTATATTTTTTGCGTTCTAAATGCTGTATACAATAGCCTTATTTGTAAGTCTAAACAAAATTGGTTACACTTCAGGTGGGAGAACTGATTGGTGGCAGCCAAAGGGAAGAACAATACGAGGTTCTTCGAGAAAGGTATAAGAAAGTGCATCAGGCATGCATGTTGAATTGTGTTTGTAATTATTTACACACATAATAATAAAAGCTATTTGATATTCAATTTGTAAATTTGGTGGTAATAAGAACATATTTGACGGGCATGCATTGCAGGATTTTGGAGATGGGACTGCCTCTAGAGCCTTATGAGTGGTATCTTGACCTGCGCCGATATGGAACAGTGAAACACAGCGGGTTTGGTCTTGGTTTTGAGCGAATGATTCTTTTTGCCACAGGCATTGACAACATCAGAGATGTTATTCCATTCCCAAGATATCCAGGGAGAGCAGATCTTTGATTTCTTTTGCCTAGACATATCTATAGGTTGAATCTCTTGGTAGTTACATTGTTATTACACATGCCAATACCCTGTTTTTCTTGAGATATATTTATTTCCTGTTTATCTAGTATCACCCAAGCTAGAAAGGATGAAGAAATTATATTTGGTAGAATATTGGTTGTGTTGGAAGTAGTTCAAATTCAACTGTTCATCGATCTAAGATTGATTGGTTCAGACTGAAGAATTCTGGTTTTTCTAAAGGTTCTTGCAGAACATTGGATCAGACTTGGCTGTTCTGTATGAATCTGATCCGGTCCTTTACCTTCTAGCCTCTTTCTTTCATTGTCTTGTTTTGTTTGATTTATATATATTCAGATGTTTCCAAGTTTTGTACAAAAATTAGAGGGCAAATTATAGAAATTCTTCTATTGAAAATTACCATTTTGATGTTAACTATCATACTAATCTTGATAATTTATTAAATCAGAACAATATATAAACGTTATTAAATGAATTAGCAATTGTTATTAACAAAATTATTTTAAATGAAAAAAATTAAATTCATTATTTTTGAAGTTTTTAAATAAAGAAATTATTTATTATTAAATTAATATTGCTTAGTAAATTATTATTATTATTTTTATAATTTCTTTATATTTTGATATATTTAAATAAATGAGTAAGGTTGTTATAATAATTTAACTGCTGAGGCATAAGATGTATACTAATTTAAGTATTATATGTAATTTCAAACTCGTTCGCAGTGTGTAATAATTAAATGTTGATTATAAGTAATTTATCCGAAAAGAAAAAGAGTATAAAAAAATTAATCTGAAAAACAAGAATAACAGAATAGAAATCTTAATTATAGTTCTAAACGATGACGTTTCAACGTCCCGATTCTCGTTTTCGAAGACATTTCTGTCGCTGGAGCTATCGCGTACTCGTTTCAATTGACGGGAGCGGACCTGAGTTCTCTCGTTTCTCTTTCTCTCCTCTCTCCCGTTGTGTTTTAACTTAGAAAGTAGGAATCCACAAGGACAGAGATTGAACACGATGAAGAAACTGACGAGAAAATGGCGGAATTCTCATGATGACAAGTTCTCTCTTCCAACTCGAGATGATGACGATTCTCGTCCCATCGACAGTCAAGGTCCCTTCTCTCTTGACGAATTTAAGCCCGCTAATCAATTTTAATTCTTTTTTCTTGATGTCTCCTATTTTTATTCAGATCTAAACCTCATTTCTCACCATTTTCGCATCAATTTATTTTCTTAGAGCAAGAGGAGTTTGTTCGATCACTGGAAAGGACCCAAGCTCAGCAAAGTCGTCAATGGAGGGTATATATGTTTTTTTTCTTTTTTTTTGTGTGTAATTTTCCATATATAATATCTTTTTCTTTTTTGTTTTTTATTTAAATAAAATAAATATCGATTCCATGCAGACCGTTTTCGCAGCACTTGTCTTTTGTTACGCAGCATTTCTTGTTTACTCCATCTTTCAGCAATTTTCATCTCCATGGGAACTGGTACGAATCTCGCGTTGCTAATTTATCTACTGTTGCTTTCTTGGTTGAATGCAACAACCATTTGTCAATAGATTTTGAGCACGGCATGGTAGGTTTTTTCCGCTGACGATGTTCATTAAGTTTCTTTCGAGTTGTTATTGTGTCTGTGCTATAGGAGTACAGGGATTAGTGATAAAAAAAAATCTGATCTGACTCCATTCTGGGGTTTTATTGCATCTTAAGATTGGTAGCCATAAAGC